TGGCTTATTATTTGCTATGATCTACCGGAAGTTGAACTGAGCTCAACTTTTGAACGCGATACGACAGACGACGTAACTGTGAACCCGGATTTACTTGACCTGACGTGTAATTACAGCGTTTAACAATACTTCATGTAAAATAACCGTGACCAATATTAAACACAATAATATATACCAAACTCAGATTACCAAAACTACGAAATACGTCGTGCACTACTCGGCGAAAGTGGAAAGCGTCTTTAATCAAACAATCATATCATCTAACAACGGTTCTGACTTCTGTTTATCGAAATTAAACACACAAAATTATGCCACTTCCTGGCGTTTGCGATATTTCCTCATGTTTATTCTTTCATTTAGCATACGAATAGACAACATTTTACCACGTTATTAAATATCAAACCTTGTTTATGTTTTTCGTTATTGAATTTGCTCCATATTATGTTAAATTAGTTACCTACCACATTTACCATTCATTGCATTAATAAACAATTTCTCGAATTACTTTACAATCAAAATAGTTACCTGCTCGCAAAGACATGGTTAAGTTAGACTATGCCGTATAGTCTATACAGTACCTCGTTCTTATACCATGTATATTTGTACATACTGTACATATCGTGATAACATTTACACAATATTTATAGTATATTGTACACTGCATACAGTCGTCTATCTACAATTAATAGCGGTATAGTGTGAACTGCACATTTTCATAAATTATTCGCAGTAATCTCGCGAGCGTGAAACCACAGAATGTTCGGCTTTTCGTTATTAGTAAAACAGTAGCCGTGGGACGTTTTCGTCACATTTGTTACGCCACGGTCATTTGGCTCTATATCAATAATTATTAAGCTTGATCATCATTTTAATATCGTTTTCACTTTGACGAATGAGTAGATAAACAAGTGGTGTGTAGCAGTGCATCGTAACCAGGAATATTGTAGATAGCTATACACGTATTTTTACTGATATCATTTTCCAGACTGATGTTACACATCGCTCGTTTCATTAAAAGCACATGTTGGGAGATTGAGGCGCAGTGTTAAGTCAAGACAGACGTCACTCTTCGATTATTATTCACAGTTAGTTCCTCGATCAGAAATAGACGATATTCCATTCTTTTAATATGTGATACTTGTACACATAAAAGAAATTAATCATCTAGTAAAAGTATTATTATTTTTATTTTTGACACAAATTTATGAATATTTATTATTGTTAAAAAAAATTTATATTTAAAGTTATTAAGATTTAAAACGTAGAACATAGTAATAATTATAACTTTTAAAAATTATAGTTATACCTTGTAATATTAGAAGGAAAAAGCGAAAGACTAAGTAAGCTCTAATTGAATTTAACTTATTAGTAGGGCCCGGAACTTGATGACCTAAAAAATCTTTAAAAAATCACTCAAAAAAAGTATTAAAATGATATACAAACATAAAAAATGACCTTGAAAACACCAAAAAATAACATAACATTTTAAAAAATTACGTTTTTTTAAAATAATAAATCATCATTTTTAAATTAATATTTTTTTATTATTTTATACATCTAAATTTAAACAATGTTAATATTTTTATACATTAAATATGTTTTTTTTTTACAGACACGCCCTGTGTAATTAAATTTAAAACGAAGATAAAAAATAATGTCAGTAATACAAAATAATTACAAAAAATAAATCGGTATTTACTGTTTTTAGACAAATAGTTGAAGGATTGGGCTGTATGATACGTTAGTTTTTTCAAATATTTAGTTTTGTCAAAATAATATAAAAGAAAAATGTAAAAAATGTAAAAAAAATGTATCAAAATCAGTAAAATATAACCAAAAAATACCAAATAAAAATGATTCCATTGAATTTTACATAATATAAGCCACATTTCTATAAAGATAAGCCTCGTATAAACACATTAGAAAAAAAGATGCGAATTTTGATTTAATGCATCAAGTTCCGGGCCCTACTTATTAGATTAAGATTTGAAAATTCTAAGTTGAAAAAATAACAAAAATGTTGTGATGGTCGAAGATTTGTATACAAATGTATAATATACTGTGTTATATGTGGTATTTTATGTTATTATATATTTATATATTATGTATTATGTAATATTACTTACACCAACTCTATGCAGAGTGATTTTTAACAAAATAAAGAAAAAGTGATAAAAATCTGAAAGTTCACTATCGACAAATGGTTTTTAAATGATTTTTATAAAAGTCACTCAATAGGATATCAGACATTTTTTTAAACAAATAACAAAAAAAAAGCAAATGTTAAAAAGAACTTAGTACATTAAATTATATTACATACTACGCGCTATAATTTTTTTTAAAAATTAATTTATTATTATTACTTCTATTATTTGCATCGATTTCGTTTATTAAAAAGAAGATAATAGTTCAGCGAAGTTGCACCCTATGTGACTATGTCCCTGTCCAATTTGTGATATATATTTTTTTTTAATATCTAGGTAACTAGGTATAACTAAGTATCTAAATACAATAAATATATCAATATTTTAACATTAAAAAATGTATCACACATACCAATGCCAAATCTATATTTGTTATAATAATTATTATACTTTATAAGTAAATCAGTGTTACAAATATATACATTATATACTAATAATTTTATTTTATGATATAAGCATAAACTACTCTTGATGAATTTTATACTAAATTTTTAAATATTAGGTAATATTTTTATACAGATATAAGAAAAACTGATGTAAAATTTTTATTTAATTTTCAAGAATTTCAAGTCAGCAAATATTTTTTTAACTATAATTTAAGCAAAAAAAAAAAAAAATGAAAATTTAGTATGCCTATAATTTAAAAAGTGTTAAAATGATTTGATAATTTTATCAAATAATTTAAAAGATAATATAAAAATTGATGAAAATGTAAAGTATCTACTGTTATTTATTAATTTATTATTTTTGAAATACAAATTAAAGCATATTTACTGGCCCAAAAAGTATTTACAGACACAAATAAAAAAAAAAGATGATTGTAAAATCAATACATTCATCGCTCCGCTCAGAATCTAAAATTAATCTAGATTATATTGTACTTTACTATCTATTATATCTACGCTAATTTTTATGTTATTATTTTTAATTACTATATACATTTAAAATCCTTTTATAAATCTGTATAAGTACATACAAAATTTATGCTAAAGATTATCAAACATCACAAAATTGTATAAATATAAATCACAGTAATATTATTATTTAATTTAATATTCTATGTAAATAAAAACATCGTGGAATTTTATTTTTACTTCAACGATGATTAATCACCACGTTTAAATTATACCTACTATCAAAATCTGTATGTATAAACAAGTTCACAAATTATTACCGCATAAACGATAGATCTAATCATAGTAAACTATATAAAATGCTCTATGGTGGCAGTTATTTTGTACTACCATACTACCCTGTTAACAATTAAAGTTAATAATTATATTGTTTCATTTATGATTATGATCAATAATGACAATGATGTATTAATACATTTCTTATTTTATACTTTGAATATTCAATTTAATTTCAACGGTTTCGTGTTTAAGTAATTATGGTGCCTTCATCAATACAATGGACGATGACTCCTTCAGATCATATTTTAGTGTATGTATTAATAAGTAATTGGTTTGGTATAAATACATTTTCTAGGTTGTATATTATTATGTTGTCGTATATCGTAGTAAATAAACCTGATATCTCTTTAAGTTTACGAAATACTTTTGGTAATCTGCAGGTAAGGTAAATTATGAAATTCGTTGGGTTTTAAGTTAAAGTGACCACACGTCCACATATGTATATTTAAAATAGTGGAACAAACGATTTTGGATCTACTCTAAAAGTACTTCTATTTACAAAAATTGAAATGATTTTTATTTTTATTTTAATGATATTTTTGAGATAACTATATAATATTGTTACAGATCATGTAATATTTAGTATATTTTAAAACATATATATTGCACGGTGTGGTGGCACATATTCCAATTGGTTAATAAGACAAGACAATATGATTAATTTGAGGTCAGGGTAGATAGTGTGGGCATTGTATTATTTTAATTAAGACAATTTAGATATGATGATTACACGTCGCTCACTTCTTAGAAAAGTCGAAACTCTGAGTGTGCAAGAGCCGACAAGAATAATTATTATCAAAAAACATGAATCCTTGTGTCATTGGAAGTTACCACCACCACAATCGATTCTTTGTCAATCAACCATTTATAAGAGAAATATGGGCAAGAGCTTAGAGGCCGGTTGCAACACCATTCACTGTCTTGTTTATCAGTATTTCTGAGGCCAGTCGTAGCACTACTCACCAACATTTTGTACTTGCAATAGTGTATTTTTATATCTAAGTTTAAATTAAAAAAAGATTTACTTTATACTTGATATATATTATCAAGTATTTTCATTTTTGCGTTAATATATAAATTGATATTATCATTGGGACGCAACAATATGTATATTACACTGTGCAGTGCATTAATGAATATTAAAGTTCATGTTTTATGCTTAGCGTTGACAAAATATGTTTGTCGTCGTTTTTATTTTACATACATATTTATAAGTATGTATAAATACAGTGTTTACTAAGTCAAAAAAAGGAGAGATAATGAGATTAAAATTGAATTATTTGACACTAAAAATGTAATAAACGATGTCTCGTTAGCAGTTAATTTAGACAAGTAATATCTATTTAATATTTAAAAAAAAGACAATCTTGTTTTAAACGAGATGTAAGGTCATCTTACTTTAGTAATAATTGATTTATATAATTAATTATATCTAAAAGACTGCGATGAACCATGATAACTTTTAACGTAATTAAATACTAAAATTCAAAGGACAACATATTTTATATTTAATTTTTTTGTTAATATAGGTACCAAAGTTTATTTGATTTAACCAAATCAGTATAATTTTTTTTTTATTAAATTCTTCATCTTATGATTATAGTTATCCTATATCAAAATACGTAATATCACCTGTCAAGAAATTTCCCGAAACAACCGTCAAACGTGTTATCCAAAGCCGAGAAATAAGAGCCAACCAGACTTCTAGCACCATTCATCGCTGTAAAAAACCTCGTGTCCATCGTTTCTCCGAAAACTGCAGCAACCATCAGTATCGACGATCGCAACAACATTGTCGCATGGAAACGTACCCCACGAAACAGTCTCCGTATCATCGGTCAAATGGCAATAAATCACGATACGAGAAGTGTTGTCGATCCCAGATGCTGATACATTGTTCAGGGAATCAAGCGCTAAACCAGATTGATGAACAGGATGAGGATGTGGAGTTTGAAGAAGAAGTAGAGGGGGTAGATGAGAAAGAAGAAGAGGTGGGGGAGGAGGAGGAGGAGGAGGTGAAATTTGAGGACTTTGATTACGATGATGATGACGATAACTTCAACGATGAAGACTACAACGACGAAGACGAAGAAGAAGACGACAATGAAGATGAGTTTAAAGATTTAGTGTTGGGACAAAAACGGAAACGGTTGGACGATGTAGATGACAATTGTAGCAGCATGGCGATTGTCGATGACGCCACTACGTGTTGGGGACCGCAACTACTAATTGGCGAAAAAGAAAATCGCGTCACGCGATATTCCGCAAATGTCGTATTGCTGGCTCATGGCAACCGTTCACTGCATGTGCTCACGATCCAAAGAAACCAGGTGATTTCTATAGCCAGCAATTCATTCAATCGTTTTAGGAATCATCGATCATCGTCTACTACTATGATAAGTTATAAACTGTAAGTGTTCATCATTAATATATAATTATTATAGTTTATAAACATGATATTTATAATATAATGTAAATTTCATAAGGCTATTCTCTAACCCGTGTTTTGTACCTACGTGCTAATAAAAATAAATAAACAAAATATCGTTTATGACATAGGTAGGCACAACTAAGACTACATTATTATATGGCTACGGCCATCACCAGCAAAATTCTTCATTTAAAATCAACTTTGGTAGTCCACCCCTTACTCTCACTCCAATACTATCCGATACCAATACCACACATTTTAGAATTGAGGCGAAATGACAAAATATGTATTGGTTTTGTAACAACTTTTTTTTTTATGCAATGACACTTATATAATCCAAGTAAGTTATTCATATAAATGCAAGGCTTGCAAATGTTATAATAACGTTATATTTGACAAAAAGTAAGCCCGAAATTCTATGCACTCATTACTATTACCATCTTAATAGTTTTTTTAACTTTAAATACATATTTATTTATACTTAGATTATACAAAATTAAGTTAGATAAGGTTAGATCATTATATAGGTACTACTATTGCATGTAATTGAAATTTATATTATTCTTTAAATTACATAATGCATAATAAATATTATTATAAAGCATACGATTTTAATAATATTGCTACAAATATATTGTGGTATTTTACCGGCTTATAAAATTTTAAGTAAAAAAAAATATTAAAGAATAGAATTATTGCATTCAATTAGATTCCAAAAAAAAGTGTACGCATTATAATACTACATAATATTAGTACCTACCTCAAAAAAACTTCTTTGAATGTTTTTTGAATTTACTCTAACTAGATTTATTGGTAACTAGTAAAACAAATTTGACCTAATACATGTGTTGGTGTGTTATGCAGTCAGATTTTTACCGCAAGTAAATTAAAAATTATTCAATTTATTTTAATTTTAAAAGTTATCCGACCAATAATAGTTATGCTGCTATTAGAAAATAAGTTGTGTACATTATTAAATAATATGAAAAATAAAATCAGTAGAACCCTCTTAAGAATAATAAATAGTTTTAAATAGCTAAACTATAGTCTATAGCCTAACTGGCTTTGTATAACGTCACGGTTTAATACTTTAACATGTTGAAATTGTTTGTTATGTTTCGATTTAGACCAGGTGGACAATTTATTTTGACAGAGGATGAACCAAAAAATTATCAAAATAATGCCGGAAATACATGTACTTGTCCCGACGACCAACAATGGTATTCGGCAGCAATCAAGCATTTAATTACACAGTTGACAGTATGAAAAAATTTATATAATTTTACAAATATGAAATAGTTATCATAAAAGTATTACGTTATAATTAAATATCATAACCTTTAGGCTATTAGTACTAGACATTTTCGTTAATGTTATTAAATATCTATATAAAGATTGAACAACAATTTAAGTTACAAGTACTAATGAATGATTATATGGGTATTTATATAATTTATAGCAGAACTATTATTTTTTTTTCATTTAAATACATAATAAAATTTGTATAGTTAAACTTTATAAATTTTTTTACTTGTATGATATAAAACTTTAGTAACATTAGATGGTTAATAGGCTAGGTTAGGTTTGTCGTATCTCTTATATTGAGAAACACACTAAAACTTACAGCATCTTACCCTAGAACACTCTAAGGCCTAAGTTAATGGTTAAATTATCTAAAATTAAATTTTAATCTAAATTCTGTCAACACTGTTAACTTAAAGCAAGGTAAATTTATCGTTTTATGTCCATTCTTTTTAGACCTTATGAGTTATAACTATATGATTTTAACATCTCAGTCATGTTATAATTGTTATATTGTAAAGATAAAAGTCAAACGATTACAAGAAAAAGTTTAATTACCTATACTTTTTGGTACATTTAAACATTCAAAATAAATATATATTATAATATTTCATCAAGGTCCACGTACCTAATAGTCGTTTGTCTCTTTATCTAGTTATAACTGCCACATATACAAACACGCATCTGTCGAACTCCATAACAGCATTTCCTTGCATGCTTTAGCATTAAACAATAAAATATTTTGTCGTCTTAATTAGATTTATTTCTGGCCCCTACTTATGTCAGTAAGTATCTCGTGACTGATATACATACTTTATTTAACTTATATTATTATGTCCTTATAACGCATATGTATTATGTTACATGAATAGATTTTAGTAACTAACAATTATTGTTGATAATGATAAATATCATGAAATAAAAATAGGAAATTTTAAAATCATAAACTATAAATAGATATCAAAATTTTCTAAACATGTTAATTTGATAAAGTAGCTAATAAATTATTTATAAAAGTAGGTACCTTCCTTTATACTATCTGGTCTGTAGACATACATATTCTAACATGCCTTACATACCTAGCTGAATGTTATCATTTTAAAACAATATAATATCATAATATCGTTGTTAATAATATTTTTTATTTAACTAAACATTATGAATATCAAATTACCTACAATTTTAGATATTAAGAGCATAAATACTATTATTTACTATTAATAACATTTGTATTTCTAAGAATATTTTAATAAACATTTATTCGAACCATCACAAAATATTTAATAATTAACATAAATTAATAATCTGTTTTTATTATATATAATGAAAAAATGTTTTAATAAATGTTTCATAACCTAAACATTTTAAGTTTTTATTCTAGAATTATTTTATTATATATTTATATTAATAAATGTTATTTTGAACAAATTGCATATTATATAGGTAATACTGTAATAGTAATTATAATATTATTATTTATTCCATTCAATATTACAAGCTACCTAATATTTTATTTTTATATTATTAGTATCTATTAGATTTTGAGTGCAGCGAAGAATGTATTATATTTTAAAATCAGATGTGGTGTTTTTATTTTATTTTTTGTCAGAAGATATTTTCTATTGGAAAAATGCTCTAATCTCAACTTTGATGAAAGATTTTGTAACCAATTGTATCCAATTAGTATTTAAGGGAGTGAAAAATTGAAAATTTTCTGTTTATTAATTACTCCTTTCCAAGTCGTGCACAAGTATTTCTACAGTTTTACTTATATACTCTTATTCGTTATCCCTTCCCTTCCGGTGCTGTTCTTCACTCTTTCGATCTCTCGTTCACTATTTTCCGGGCTTTTATGCTAATATATGATTTGAATACATCGGTAATAAACTAATAAACAATATTCAACTGCTGCAGATTCGTGGCCCGGCGACTACGGCGATGACGATAATGGAGAAATCCAGTGATGACCAATCGCAATTCGTGCTGCTGGGTAATTGGTATCGAACACAACAAGACGATGACTACAAATCCTTTCTGGTAACCAACGGCACTCGGTGCCACCGCCACCGACCTAGTAACAACAACTATTATCCGTACAAGCCGGCGCACGTCAGTCGCAGATTAGCCGGTCACAAGCGTGTGTACGCCGTACCGGATGCGTGCCGATTGTTTCCGGGTACTGAGTCCACGTTTCGGCTGCAGACACCGCTCGTTAAAACTAAAACTGCTACCACCAAAACCAAAACTGCCATCACCACCACCACCATTACCACCACGTACAAGTGCAAGTTCGTTCCGCTGGCGCGGCTGCACGAGAACAGCCGTATGTACGGACCAGTCTTGTCGTCACTCCCGGCTGTCTTGTCCGGGTAAGTCGGGTGGTAGGCAAAGTATAGCTGGCTAACACAGAAATTTAATAAACAGGCACATTGATGTTAGAAAAATTACTTACCTATACTATAAAAAATTTAAGTATAGTTTTTATTAAGGGTACATTAAACGTTTAAGAACAATTTGATATTTTAAAAGCAAACTGGCCAAATTCGAAAAAACCACATTTGGTTAACAAAAGAACTTGTATTTTCTGTTAATTTATTTCAAGACCAGAATAGCTTAACTATATTATGAAATAACTATGATATTTTATTGTTAGGTCTTTGTCATATACTTACCTAGTGACCTAACCACCAATATCAATACGTATAAATAGATATAATTAATTAAAAAATTAACAATCTAAAATAAAAATGTTTTATTGACAAAAAGAACATCAGTTACTTATATAGTTACAATATAATGTATAGTTCCTTAGTTCTTCTTACGGTTATTTTATAACAATATAATAATTTAAAAAACGTCAATGTTGGTAGCTATATCTAACCGCTCTGCTGTATTCAGTTAAATATCAACTGTACTTCAATATTGAGTATAATTTTCTTCACTGTTTAATGGATGTGTTAAGTTAGAAATCAATGAAATAGTAAATCGTATTATTATATATATATATATATATGGGGAAAAATTACCATAACCACCACGTAAAAGTTAAATTTTGACATGTTAGCGTGGTTGTACGAAAATAGCCATCTGAGACAGAAATTATTATTATTTCAATATTTGACTATAAAAAAAAAGTCATTATAATTTTTACAATATAATATATATATTTGACCAGATACCTATTTTCAAATCTTAAATATTCGATAAATATTATTAATTTATACTGCATAGTTACATAATAGTATTTTATTACCAAAAAGTGATTATCTATTCTATAAAGTGCAAATAGTGGATAATCTTTTTTCAAAAATAATTAACTAAACAATAACATATTTCAGTGACTCTGTATACAATAAATGAGTATTATGTTAGGTGTTAAGGTTAACTTTGAATACAGATTACATATAAATTAGGTAATCAATAAAATTTTCATTCAATGTTTTTGAAAAACATTAATTCAACATACTTACCTTATCTACTAGATATATAAATATAACCAATAGAGTAGTTATAATAGGTAAGTAAGTAAATTTAATGGAAATATAAATATAAAATAGGTAAATATATCATAAAATACCAATAAGTATACTAAGTTATATAGGCTAATCATCTCTACTTAGAATTTTTTTAAAGAATGATTTATCATTGAATTTAAATTTAGCATAAACTATTATAATATGTGCACTATAAATTAGTGAACTAGGTACTCAATAACAAAACAACAAAGTACACTTGACATCTAATGTACAGCAAAGTGATAATCTACTTTCTCCCTTATTTATAAATATGCATATACCCGTCTATCATATCTTTAAATTTGTTTCCTATGTCAATACTTTTTTTTATTTTACTCTATAAATTTATGTGTCCTGGAATACGTTGGAATTATCTTCAAGAAACAATAAGTATTTTTCTTTTAACTTTATCTTCATTTGCTTTTCCTAGATACAGATAACACATAAATTATATTAATATTTTAATAATTATTGAAAGATTCTAATTTGAAATAGATAATGAACTAATGTATGGATTAGAAAACAAACCAACCATTACAAAGTCATTTGTACATTTGTATTTTTTTTTTTTACAAAGAATTAGTAAATTTAGTAGGTAGATGGGCGAGTACATTGAGTGGCATAACATTATAACAAGATTGCTTCTTGAGTTTAGCAAACTCAAATCGCCATTAATAGAAATCTACTAACCCAAATGCACATAATTCTATATTTATTATTTTTTTTTTTTTTTTGTATACAATAAAAGTAATTTCTGAGTTCAGACCACCTAATAGTAATTAAATATTTTAATATTAAAAACTATTTATTTTTCAGCATGAACTTGATTTGCTCACCATAAGTTGACCTCATTATTTCATCATCAGATGTAAACAAATGGACATGATTCATTTTTATCTGTCAACAAGTACCTAATTAATTTGACTCAGGTATGGTCAGTAATAATAGTACTCACCTATTATCATACTTAGATAACCATTGTGGTTATGCCATGAAAGTATTATTTTTTTTTCATCTAATTATGTCTAATAATTACATAATCAAATATTTTGTAATTATTTATTTAAACAAATATATTTTATTATACTATGTGTTACTACAGTTTTATCATACAATTAGCTTAACATATCCTTTTAAAGCAATACTAAATTTAATATTATGCTCTTTTAAATAATTAAAACCTACCCTTTGTACTTTTCTACTGTACCAAGTAAATATAATATTAAAAAAAAGAATAAACATTTATTAATCATTTTACATTTCTATAGAACAGTTATTATGATGCTTCATAAATGTTAAAAATATATATTTTAAGCTCTTATAAATTCAATATTATTAATTCATAACATTTATGATTAATTTTGAATTAAGATTTACTTATTTTTAAACATACAGCATTTTGTGTAGAGGGTTTAAAAAGAATTCACACCAAAAACACATCATAAATGTTATTTATTTGTGTATAGTAATTAATCTATATTCTATAATATAAAAATAAATTATTTACTTCACAGTCAATAATGAATAATTATAATATCAAATAAAAGATATAATTAAGATGTATGTCACCCATGATATCTACTAGCATACAATGTTAATAAGTAATTTTTCAAATTATTAATAGTTATTTTTAAAATTTCTGATTAAATTGAATCTTGTATATAAAACAAGTAAACAACTTTAAATGCCATTAAAATATAGATTTTTAACAGAAAAATAGGATAAAAATATAAATAAAGAAAAAAGTGTCCATTAGAAATAATAGAATTACTGTAACCATTTTAATATTAAAATGATTAAATACTATAAATTTATTTATGATATCACGTAGTATTCAAAATAAATTAAATTTTATTTTTATCATAAAGTTTAATACATAATAATAATTTTGTAAGTAACAAGTAATTTATAATTAATATGCATGCGTAATTGTTTACATTATTATCTACATGATACATATTTTACTTATGGTTGACAATTTTACATAGTATTTTTTACTTAACTAATAATTTAATACAAATAATTAATATACTGTATACAAAATACATTTTTGCATTTATTAATTAATAGTTAAAATAAAAATATTTTAATTATGTGATATAATTTTTTTTAGGGATATAATATAATATGTATCTAATTTTAAAAGCTATAAGAGAGAAAACTGTTGAAGAAGTGATTTAGGCTGTATTTAATAACTGTTTCATATCATTTAACAGGAACTTATAAACATTAATAGTAATACAATATGAATTAATAATAGGCAATAAGAAATTAACAAAATAAATGTAATAAAAATTAAAAATACTGTAGGGAGACAACACACAATATAAGAAAATAAAACGCATTGCTAATACTGCGTGAGTAATTTGGTATTTTTTAAGTACTAAATTTACATAGTTGAGCAACTCTTAGTATTGCAAAATAAAAATATATATTATTACATAATAGATTTTAGTCTAATTTAAAACTAAGGCAACAGGACACTATGAGTGGAAACATTTTGGAATGTTTGTATTCCAATTATTATTTATATGATGGCACAAAACAATAACTTATATGCAAATAAAAAAAAAATAAATATATTCCATTTATACTATTTATGGACGGCCGACACATTATAAAGGTAATACAAATTAATTGAAAACTATGTTGAATAAAAAAAAATAAAACAAATTGGATAATTCTCTAAAGAAATAAAATATGAATTAGAACTATTGTTTATAGGCTATAATGTACATGCACGGTAAGATAATTAAAATGATATTTTTTTAAATTAAATATTACTTATTTATGTAAAATGATAACAAGAATAAACATGACAAAAAGTATAAAAGAATGATAAACAACAATAATAAATATGTGTTATATATAGTGGGCCATAGTGTTTTTAGTTATTAAGTATTAGAAATAAAGACTAAGCCCAACCCTAATATATATATATATATATATATAATAAATTGTTGATTTAAGGCACTAATTTTATTCATAGCAAGTGGTATATTTAATTGCGTAACATCTTATAAAAAAATTATGTACCTACATAAAATGATTAGATCACATCATATCACAGGAAAATTTAATTTAAAAATAAAAATGTATCTGAACAATTACAAAATATTTAACACACAACATTTAATAATCTGTTTTTATATAAAATAAATTGTTTTGGTAAATTTGTTATAGCCTTGCTTTTAAAGCTTTTTTTTTTTTTAATTTTGTTGAAAAATAATTAAATACTATATTTGTTCAAATGATAACCCACCTAAAAATTTAAATAAATTACACAAAATGTCTGTTAAGTTAATTATTATGTAAAAGTTGCATTAATAATTTAAATAAATGGATTGGGTTAAAATTTATTGAAAATTTTGCAAAGTATTTTTATAATAGTATAAATGACAAATTAAAAAAAAAAAAAAACTTAATCAATTCAATTATTACTGATGTGATTGACATATTTACAAACACATGTAAATATATATAAATATAAAAAAATTGAGAAAATATACAGTGGTTATTTAAGAAAATAAAAAAAAAACATCTATTGCTATAAAAAGTTGGTAAAACATATTAAAGTAAAAGATTAAAATTAAGACTATGTGTGATGATGTAAATAACTAAAATAACCGTGAAAAAAACATTAAAGAAAGGAAAAAATTGTAACATGGTCAATGTGTTAATAAAAAAAAAAAACAAAAACATAGTTTAATAGGAGATTAATAATAATTTTATCAAAAAATATTGTTCCTACAAGGAATATGGTATTAAATGTTAGGACTTTGTATTATATGTTTGTTATCACGAATGGTTACTTGGGTTATGTAAGGTCCTTGTTGCGGTGAAGATCTTTGCAGCTGTTGTTGATGTTGATGGTACATAACACTAGCATAATTGTTATTGTTTGCCGATCCTCTGTGTAGTGGTTGCTGTTGTTGTTGCTGTTGGACACTGTTGTGACCTTGAGCATCACCACTATAGTTGTACAGCGCATAGTTTGGTGACTTGGTTGCTGGAACGGGATAATGATGCCGAGATAACGATTGTTGTTTTTGACTACGAGCAACACCATTTTTGTTGTTGTTCATTGCTGCAACTGCCGCAGTTTGAGTAACACTGTCTACTAAACAGGGGAAGAGCGTGTGGGTGTAGGTGTGTATGAGTGAAAGATTGAGAGACGTGCTGGCGGCTATACATAAGTACGGAGGTTGGTGGGAGAGGGGGACAACTCACCTTGTCTAGTCAACGAGTTAGAATTGTTGTCCACCAGACGTGATGCACCACCAGTCGTATATGGTAACGATCTCATCACACTTTCATATTCGTAATAATTGGAACTAGGTCTTGCAACAGATTCCTTGGGGTCGCGTCTTTGAGAATGATAGTGCAATTGTCTTCGGCTAAAGAGAATATTAACAAAAAAAAAATAAAAAAAATAATTTCAAACAAATGTCAATAAATGTTTTAATATCTAAACATAAGACCTTTAAATAAACAAAAATACAAATAAAATTATTATGATTTATGGGTCCCAACGTCAAAAAAATAAATATATTGCTAATTGTTGAAATATTATAAAAATATTCTAAAAATGAATAATGTAAAAATGTGTAATATTTAGAAATTATTAGAAATTTTTTATAAGATGAAATAAAGGTATTAAAAAAAGATGCTCTATTTTTATATAATATTTTTGGGCTAAAAGTATTATGACTTAAAACTTTAGTAGTTAATCATCAGTAAGAGATTTAGTGGTATTCGTTTAGTATGTGACCTACCGATCGAAAATCGAATTTAGTATGTGACCTACCTGCATTACTGAGTTTAGTGGTGTGATCTACCAAGATTAATGGAGAGCATATTCTTGTTTAAAAAATATAGGCTATGATCATTAAACAGTAAACCATTCGACATCGATGATCAAATTCAAAAAATTTTGTTGATCTAACTACTGGAGCTTATACACAAGCATTTGAATGTTCATGGGAGTATTAAAAACTAAAATCCTACAAAAATGCACGGAACTGATACATGGATTGTATTGATATCTGTAATAATAAAATAACCTAATTATATAATTTTTAATTTGACTGTTTTTAAATTAATTTTGATTGATATTGAATGTAATCCATAATCTGTAATAATAAAATAATCTAATATTAAATAATTTTTAATTTGAATGTTTTTAAATTAATTTTTGGCCCGGTAGGTCACACATGCAAAATAAACACCTTATACGGTAGGTACCTCGACCAGTAGGTTACATACTAAACGAATACCAATTTAGTTCATTAACTGGTAAAGGATTAAATTTTAACATTTAAGTGTAAAGGTTATTGAATATAACAATGTATACTAAAAACATAGATATGCACAATAAGGACCTGCAAAAACAAATCTATAATTTATTGTTTTTCCATACAGCAATAAAATATAAATAAAAAGTAGAAAATAATTTTTTTGATAACAATATTATCTGTAATATAAATCTATACAATTTCTGATTCTTTATTTTATATTTAGCATAATGTGTAAATAATGAGTCGAAGAATACCTACAAGTATAATAAAGTATTGTAACAATAAACAAATATCATAATTGTAACAAAATGGTTTATAAGATTAATAAAAAATTAAGATAAACCCTTACATTACTATAATTAAGTAAATTATAGTTTATTTTGTTTATTGTACTATAGAACATTCAAGATAACAATTTAAAAGGCAGTAAAATGTTATACTTGTAGCTTAGTTTTTCAGTGACCACATTTGAGTGCCAAGAAGCTGCTAGAGGAAATTATTTTTTTATATACATCTTGAATGTTCTACTATATATAGATTATTAAAATTTGCTCGAATCTAGTGTCCCTGATTATCAAACATATTAAGAAATTTGTACCAATTGACAAACTTTTAAATGTTACATATAATGCATTAAAATTTCTATGTTTAAAAAAAAATAAATAATAAATAATAAAAATTGAATGGAAAAATTGCACATATCACAATAAAACCAAGGTTATTTTGGTATGAAACAATAACCTACCTCTCATCGTCAGTGTCATAATAGCAAGACACAGTTTTTTTTGTTTTGCCATGGTGTCGAAGCTTAACGCCGGGTATTTCATGCATCAAACTACAATCAAAAGTGCAAAGCATGCATATGACATAGAAGAAAAAAAAATATCAATTAACACCACATTTTTTTATTTAACGCCACAATCTATGATTAATGATGATTAATCTTAGTTTGAGGAGTTTGACACATATCACCAATAGTTGAGAAAATTATTGATGTAATAATAAAGATGTTCCAGAAGGACTTTTCCCAAACCTTGGTACATTCTTATAATCACAACCAAGTGCACTTATCAACCAATAAATGTATTACATGCAATATATATATATACATATATATATATATATATTTTATACTGCGTAATCATTGATATCAATCAGTTATCAGTATGTACCAATTAAATTTAACACCATGCATATAATAATTGTTCAATCTTGTATATATGTTTGGAATTAAAAAAATATAAATTAAAAACACGCATTGATTATTAACATGCAAAACAAACATACAAAATGATCAGCAAAAAAAAAAAAAAGTGATTAAAAATTCACATTATTATTGAAATAAAACTAACCTAAGATTCTGCTGTATTTCTTGGAAATTGACGTAATGGTTAAATCGAGAAGAATCAATTATACCTACACGACTACCCGGTCTATTAATTGCATTTTGAGTATTACCAATGGACTAATAAAAAAAAAAAAAATAAATTAGTATTAAAATAAATTCAAGATTGCATAACATAATATATACCGGTCGAACATCAGATTCATAATGATTTTCTTCCCTCTCATCTGGAATTAACTTTCCACTACGTTCCATGTGTCTTCTTTGATGTTCAGCTCTAAGTTGTTGGATACGATCCATACGAGATTGTTCAGGATTAGATGGTTTTGCCGGCATGTTATTATAATTAGTAGTAGTACCATCATCTATAGCTACTTCTCTACAGTTATTTTGTTCTTGCTAAAATGTAAAGAAAAGTAGTAATATGTTTTTTTAATAAAGTGGTTTAATGTAATCAAGCAAAATAATACACATTTAAAAAAAGTTGTTATAACTATAACTGGGATTTTTATATAAATAACCTTTCACATGTTTTAAAATGTAGCCTCATAAATGGGGAGATATTTTAGAAGAACTTGAATATTTTAATAATATTTTTAAAACATTAAACAATTTATTATTGACACAAACATAAATTGTAGTATAAGACATTTAGCTGTTTTAAAAATCAGAATTTTGGTAAAAATAAACCGTGATCAAATAATGTCAAACGTGTAATAGACATACAATATGTATCTGTATCAATTACCATTAACATAATTGCAAATTATTTTAAAAGCAAAAAAATTCTTTTATTTTAGAGATTTTAGTATTTTAAAATTTTTCCTGGAAAAAAAATGAACATTATACAACATGTTTCTGTTTTACAATGTTTAAAAACTTGAGAAATAAAGTTTTAAACATATTTTTCTAGAATTTTTATATTTTTTTCATTGGGAATTTTTTACTGTTTATAAGGCATAAAATCTCAACGATAGAATTACTTATTATTTTTTTAATTAAATTTAAATAAGTAATTGTAAATAAAATATTTTTTCTATTGACAATAATACATTAAATTTTATGATGTTTTTTAAATTAAAGTTATAAATTAAAAATTATCATTAATAATAATAATATAAGAAAGTTTATTTTAAAAGATTTTAGCTTAGTGAACATATAAGGGCAAATAACAAATATAATAAATAAGTAAATAATGCTCATTTCATAATGTGTTTTAAAAAGTAGAATAACTCTTTTAGAATATTTTATCTGATCCAACACTTTAAATGTTATAATATTTTATAAAATGCTAATGACATGTCATGTATGAACTAAATACCATTTCTGCCTGTCGCTGAATTAGTCTTTGGTATTGTTCTTGTATTCTAAGTTGTTCATCACGAGCATTTCTTCTAGCTATTTCTCGTTCACGGTCAGCAGAATTATCTTCTTCTGAGCTTAAAGTACCATTTAAATCTGGTCCTCGCCGAGGTTTACCAAATCTGAAATATAAAAATGTATAAAACATGTGTTATTATTTTAAAATAATTTTAAACTAACCTAAACATGGAACCTATCCCTTTAAGTAATCCTGGTTTTTTTTTGGCAACGGCTGGTGGTAAATTTGGAGCTTTGTAATTTATTGGAGAATGAAGTGAAGACTGTCTACGACCAATTGGATGATCATCACTTTCCTTTCCATCTACAACACATAATTAGACAAAAAAATTGATTGATTTTTATATTTATAATGAAATTTAATAAATATAATTAAACATTATTTTATTATTTTTTTTTAATTGTTTATCTAACATAAAAATAAAAAATAATTTAAATAAGTTTTAATTTGAGTAAATTATTTATACATATCTTACATTATAACTCACAGGGAAGTTGTAAAATAATCAAAGTTTGGGAAATAACAAATATTAACCTTTTAATAAATACCAACAATATGAAAACTAAAGGTTGTAACTTATAACAAATATAAAAAATATTGTAATTAGTGATTTTATAACAATTGAATACAAATTGTACAATCTTGAACTTTATCATTTAATGTAATCTATCTAATCTTGTGAAATGGTAAAAATAAATAAATGATCATTCAAATTAAACAATACTTTCTACTTAATGTATAAAATATACAAACATGTTTCCAATCTTAGTTCATGTAAGGACAATGGACCATCCTTGTCAACAGCAGCTCTAAAACTCTCATCACATCCTCTACCACGCACTACTTTAACATTGCCTCGTTTTGATCCACCATCAGTCATTTGCACTTCTTGAACCATTGTTTGTAATGATTCTAGACTGGATGATTTTTTCAACCCAAGAGAAGGACCAAGTTGGTGTTTTGATGGAAAACTGTTGCCTAAGCAGAAATAAAATTTAAATTATATACACAATATAAATTTGTATCATACTAACGACTTTTCGTATCATCTCCACGCTCTTCGCGCAATTTCTTATTTCTTTGATATGTATCGGTATTTTTAGCATCTAATGTCGCATGTCGTTTTTCAGACATACTTTGCCGTCCAAATGCATCTCTTGAAAATCCTGAGTTGGCATTATCCAATGATAATCTTTAAAAAAAAAAAAAAAAAATGCAATTACATAAATACAATATTTTTAATTTAGGTCATAAGATTTAACATACTGGCTGGCATAAGTAACATCAGTACTAGTTGAACCAGTCCTTGTTTGTGGAGTTACAATTGGTGATGGTTTTTCTTCCTCTATTTTTTTCCGACTAAACAAATAATATATAAAAAGTGTGAATAAAAAATAAGTGATTTTTATCACTGAAAATTAACTATATAATTTGATAAAACTATTTAACTTTCACAAAAGATCTAAAATAATATTTATAAAGTATAAATGAGATGAATAGTTGTTGGTTGGCTGAGATCTAATTTTTATTTTTTCAAAACTTTCCTTTTGATTTGTTTTTTTCAATTTTATAATAGATAATAAAAAATATAGTAAAAAGTAATATAAAACACGTTAAACATGTGTTTTTGAACATGTTTTATGTTCATTGTTGAGTATAATAAGTATAGATACAAAAAAAAAAAAAAAAAAAAAAAAAAATGAATATTAAGATCATATTAAAATCGAAATTGATATTAAAAATTAAATGATAATTAATATTAGATCCAAAGTATAAATTTTAGATAAACTAAATAAAATTTAAATAATGATGAAATTTTTAAAATCAATGAACATACTACAGTTAAATGTTAATTTAAGATCACACAAATTAAATACATTTTTATAAAATAGACAATATGTTATTACAAGCTAAATTAACAATTATGTTAAAATACAAACCCCTACCTAACACTATTATAAATTGGTGGGTCTTCTTCAATGATTAACATTTCTTCTGATGATGGATTTACAGTAGGGCTGTTTAATTTTTCTTCTTCTTTCAACATAATTGTCGTTTGATGAGTAGCCTATAATTATTAGTTAATTTATAATCAAATTGCATTTAAAGTAAATTTTTATTTTTAAGTTTACCTTATAATAACTTTCATTGCGTAATGCATTATAACGATTTGTGTGTCCAGTTAACCTTTCCAAAACTGGATTACGAATTGCAATTCCATCTAAATAAATTATAAACAATTGTTTTCAAGTTTAAACATTATATATTTTACTAAAAAAATTTTAGTTACCTGGAGAAGTATCGGTAGGTAATGTATTCCGTTTTGAACTCTCTGAACTTTGTCTTTGATGCATAAAAATAACAGTGGTATCAGAGTTTTCACTTGTTCCAGAATTTTCTGCCGTATTTTGGGTACTACTATCACTACTTTCAGCTCGACTAAATGTTTCAGTGTTTGCTATGATAAATTAAATTATAAATATAAGTAATTTCTGTTTAAAATATAAAATATGTAAAATAATAATAAATTATTTACCCGATGAATCTGTTAGAAGACTTGAAGAGGAGTCACGACTACGTCTTCTATCTAATGTTGGAGAACTATTACGTCGACGAGCTACTATTAATGAGATAGCTCCAGGTACTGGCCCAGGATCCACATTCATCATAGTTCTACGCAATGTTTCCATAGCTGCTGCATTAGTTTGACCAATTAATGACATACCATTTATGTATAATAGCTGGTCATTAGTACGTAGTCTACCATCCCTAAAAGTTATATCATTTTTTTTTTTTACCTTATAATTATACACATAATATTTTAATAAATAAATACCTTGAAGCTGCACCACCATGGATAACATTTTTAATAAATATACCTAAATCTTGAGAAAATTCTTTATCATTAGAATTATTATTAGATGATGTTTTACCTTTTACACTAATACCTAAAAAATAAATACATATTAAAGAATATACAAAAAAAATATTCAAAAAGTATTTTACCTAAACCAGCTTTTTCTGAATCATGCACAGGAATGTCAAAAGTCAGTATTTCTTTATGTCTCCAAGGGAATGTTTGTGTTTCTTCTAAGCTTTTAACATATTCCTAATAAATGAGTAAAGTATGAATTAAATGTTTAGAAACAAAAATTATAATACATGAATGGTCTTATTGATTTTTAAAATATTTAATTATTATACCTGAACCGTATTATTATTATTATTGGATTTTTCATTTGTTTCTACTAATTGACTGTCTGATGAAAGCCCTACTTCTCGTTCATGATTTTCTTCTAGATCCTAACAAAAAAAAAAATTATTATTAAAACTACAAGTTTATGTCTTTCATTTAACTTACTTGATTAGATTTTTGTCCAACTTGGCTAATTACAACATCTTCCTGCCTAGAAACAATAATTTTAACCTTTGCACCAGATGGAACTTTTCGCAATATAGCAACTGCTTCAGATTGAGTCTTGCCCGTCAATTCTGTACCATTAACTGCTAACAATCGATCACCAGGTCGTAATCTTCCATCTTCTACAGCAGCTCCCTAAAAAAAAATCAAATTGATATCATATTTAAATTTTTAAAACAACTATATGTAAACATTACTTTTGGTAACACATTTTTAATGTAAATAGGGCAGTTTCCGCCAGCTGGATTATCTCTGGTTGTTATACTAAATCCAAGTCCATGAAGTCCTTTAGTAAGTTCTAATTCCATTTTCTTTCCAATTTTTCTTGTATTAGCCACCATTAAAATATTGGATGCTGTATGTGTTGATGCTGATATTTTTTTGGTTGGTGAAACAGTGGCTATTTTAGTATTTGAGGTAACTATAACATATATAAAATACCACAAATAAATTGCAAGCACAAATTTTTTTATTTTATAATTAAATACATTTATCTTTATCAGATGATCCAGTAGAGACATTTTCTTTATTATTATAAGTTGTAGTGGTATTTGAGGATGGTTTAGGAAATACTGGAGGTGGTGGCTGTTTTTTATTACCAGATATCGTATTTTGACTAGCTTGAAGGTCCATATTATTTTTATGTTTTATTACTCTAAGTTTGAGCTCTGAAGAATGCAGTGAATCTCGGAATATTTCTTGTATACTGTGAAGGACAAATATTACTAATAATTATTTTCAATATTTATAAAGGTCTTAACTTACGCATTGAATGGTTGATCCAATAATGAACGGCCATTGATTTCTACAATTCGATCATATACTTTTAATCTACCATCACAATGTACCCGACCACCAGGTTCAATACCTTGAACCAGAAGACCACGTTCTTTGCCCAGAGCATTATAATCTGGGACAACATGAATACCTAATGAGCCACCACCAGTGCTTAACACTATAAATTCAGTGCTGAAAAACATACAATTTTAAATTAATGAATCATACTAATTTAATTAATTTAATACTTTTGTGACTCTATTAAGCGACTAGGATTTGTATTTGCTTGGCCCAAAGGTTCTTTTCTTCTGTGGTCTCTTGGTAATGATAATGATAAAGCTCGATTATTTGCTAAATCAGCAGCTTCTGCCCATCGAAATCCACTAATAATTTAAACAAATAAACAAAAAAAAAATAAAAAAATAGTTAGTTTTATTTCATGATAAAAATATAAAGTCAAACCTTGATGATTCTCCTAAAAACTGCATTGATAGACGATTTGAAGAATCACGATTAAATGAAGGTGCTAGAAAATGATTGCTAATTGGTGGTTTATCTTCATCCCCTAATTCTAACTCATCTTCATCTTCTTCAGAACACCTCCATTTGTCAGATAAACCAAAACCATTGATTTTCATGTAATCATCCTTAAATGTAAATTATTAATATTATTTTATATATTATATTAACCTTAAAAATATTACACAATTATATTGATGTATTTGGTCTATATTAATGTTATGATAAAATAATACTCTGGTTACTTAAATACATATAACAGATATTATTTAATTAAAATGTATTGCTAATGAATAGATATTAAAAATATCATGGATGTATACTTCTACCACATTGAAAATGTGAAAAAATGTATTTTGAATGATATAATTTATTAAATTAGTTAATATATTAAAATTGTAATTACGGTTCTTAATTTTTCTTTAGGGTCGTGAATCATAGGAGCTGCTGACCATCGTTTAGATTGACCTGATGCTGCAGGTCTAGTATTGCTATTTCTTTTTCCCACATTGTTTGCTATAAATAAATATATTTTTAAATAAAAAAAATGAACAAATTTATAATAATAAGTCTTAACATAGATTACACTTACGACATTCAAGTGGTAATTGATTAAGAGCTGGTTCACTACCTCTACGAACATGTAAAGCTGGGAAACCACAAGCAATTTGTTCATTAGTGACTTCAATGTCGGTTTGTAATCCATCTCCTCGGCTCTAAAAATTTAAATAATTTAAATAATAATAAGACAATGATACAATTATTTATCATGGGAAATTTATATTCATGAAAACGACTTAAAATAACTCTTGTCACTTTAATTTTTGATATCTACCATTTGAATTCAGCATATTCATAGCAAGTTGTTGGCGGCGGTTTCTATCCATTAACTAAATTTCGAAAATTTCGTCATTATTTGTGTTACGCTACTATTTCATCAAGTTTTAACTCAGGTTTTACAAACCTATATGCATATACATCACACGAACATTTCTAAATATAATACTATCATAGTGTCTTGTATATATTTATTATATGTACAAATATTTGATACATTTTATTCACAACAGGTTCCTCGCAGAAATAGAGGCGACTTTATTCACATACCTTACGACTTCTATTATAATTAATTTAATGAATTAGGTGCTAATAAATTTATCATATTATTAAAATGCATGTACTTGTAAAATTATGTAGAATTTTAATAAATAAGTCACAGTATGCGCCATTTAACGACTTATAGCAAAAGAAAATCTGAGTTTATTATCGTCGCTTAGTATTTTCAGTGATTATTTTTAGTTGCATATGCATTGAGCCTATATTCCTTAACACAATTATTAGATCTATATTAGTAGGTATTATATTATAATTACTGGAAAAATATTTGTTAAAGTCAAAAAAAAAATATAAGTGTTTATTTGTACTTTTAACTTCAAACGTCTTACACGTGAACTCATACAAAAAACTATAAATAACAAGTTTACAATGGAAAAGGTTTTAGGTTTCTTTGTTCGCTTCATGTCTACGATTATTTCTTCAATTAGTGTTAACATTGAAATAATAGTCTTGTAATTAATTGAAAATAAAAAAAAAATATTTGATAGTTATTTTTAATGATGGCCTAAAAAAATGCATAGGTACTTGAATGCACTTAACTTAAATAAATGTTAGAATAAGTAGACTGAATGTTAATATTATAAAATGGTTGACTGACATTTTTTTGAGTGGCAGGTGGTAAAAGTATAAACAACCTAGTGAGTCATACCTACGGCTATTTATGACTATTACTTAGAGTTATTCAAAATTAAAAACATTATAGCTATATTATGGCAGAACTAAATTTTAATTATTTATGAAATTAAGTTATGATGATTGACAACAGTTCAAAGCACTTTTATCTTTGTTTTTATTCATCATATTTTTAAAATTGTATTTAGTATATTACGCATATTTTATAGCTCACAATATTTTTTTAGTATTGTGTCTGATAGGTACCTTTACCCAAGGAATGCACATATATTTCCTTGTATTTTAAACTATAACACAATATATCAGGAATGAGCAACTCAAAATTACTAGAGAGCCACTTTTTAGAAAATTTAAATTTAGCGGCTCAGAATATAGAAAGCAAAAAAAAAAAAGAAGTTTATTCGAAATATGCATTTTAATTAGCATTTATTTTGTTTATAAAAAAAGGTTCACGGACCGCCAGTTTCTGCACTATATTATATGATTAGGTATTTCTCGTATTAATATCTTACGTGGAACATATCCGGACTAGAGGTAGCGCTAGCTCCATCTCCGCCACCGTGTTGGTGAGGGCTATTGCTGTCACCATCGTCATAGAGTGCGACAATTTGTTCTCTATCATCTGCCACATCCCTGAGACGATCATCTGGATCTAAGATACCGCCATCACTCTGAGACTGCAAACTGTGGACGGTCACCCATGAATTTGAGCTCTAAATTGTGAAATTATAAATAATCGTATAGTTTTATTAAATAAGATATTTCAATAAAAATAAAATATTAGTGATACAGTTATACATAGAACAATATTATTTTAAATCCGATACAAAAATTATGGCGAATATAATTTAGAAAAAATTGTAGATTACTTATATTAATACAATAAACATATTATTTGTATTAGATATATAAATTAATTTGTATTAATTATTTTTTAGACGTATGTACCAATTCCCACTTCTTACGTTTAATGTGTTTGGTTAATAGTTACATATACTATTTATAAAAATAAAATACAACTGATAATTAATAAAATTCTATTATGATTTTACGTTTTATGTTTCTTAAAAAGTAATAAAGAAAATATACTTTTCACTCAAGCATGTTAACATCCGAGTTAATTGTACCACATAATTTGTAGATGGGTAGTTTAACACATTAAATTTTCTAAATAGTGAATAAAAGAATAATTGTAATTGTTAACCGGTAAGCACATTCTAATAGATTTATAATGGTGAATCATTAAAATTCCTGTCTTGTTACAAATTTACACTGTTACTTATAATCAACGTACTGTATGTCCAAGAATTTCTACTCAAAAAGTTAAACGAAAAATTATTAATTATTTTTAACTAAATATAAAGTTATAAATATTTAATACAACGTTTTCAATTCTGTGTGTTTCGAATAATTTTTTAAGTATAATCGCTCTATAATAAATTCAGGTTATATTAGTTAATAAAGTAATAATGTTTAATTAAAAAGATAAAATAAATATAACATTTATTTTAATCATTAAAAATGGTACCTACAATAATCTAAGTTATATTGAATTATTGTATCTTATATATAAATACGATTTTAATGAGAACACAATATTTAAGACATTTGTAGTAAAAGCACTTTTTTCTCATCGTCTAAATTTGAATAAATCCAATTATTTTATATACATGTATAAACTATATATATAGCTACTTCATCGATATTTATTTTGTGTCACTAGATCACTACTTATTTTATGACGATGAACCTGTTTATTGTTTACTCGTATTTTTAATCGACTTGACATATTATTTTCTATCAGATCAAACCTTTGGGCTATAACTCAATTTATTTATTGAATATACTCCAACATAGACAAATGAATAATCCGAATATTTATTATATTATACTGTTACTGTGATATTACTTTATAGTTCTAAATTATAAATAACTTAATATAATAATATATATTTCATCTAATGTGATGTCATTTAAATAAATTATAATACAAATAACGAGTACTTAGTGATATTTTTTATTCGTGACATAATATCGTTTTCAAACAACAAATTCACAATAATTACTATAATTTATTAACTTAAAATAAAAACCATAATTAGATATAATGGCTAAAAACATGACTTAAGAATTTAATTTTTTTTTTTAATTGATTAGGTATATTAACAGTCATTAATTTAGACGAAAAATATTATTATTAATTTCACAGATTTAATAGGTATATTATACTCGATATTACATAATATATAGGTTACATACATTAACTAATATTTAATAAAAGTCTATGATATTGTTTTATAGGAATGTTCGTAATTAAGTAGGAACACATTTTTTTATTGCTGACGCGTACGAAATGATACGAATTGATAAATTTCCACATAATATTTTTCAATCACCATACACAGTGCTAGGAAAAAAACTATAAAATACAAATTACAAATAAATATACTTATTGATATCCTTATGAATTTCGGTATTACATATGTATACATATTACATATATTTCATAGGGACTTTAATTTTCCATTGAACTGATGTTGTCGTTGCTTATAACTTATTTTAAATTTAAATTTTTCTTATATTGCCATGGTTAAAAATAGATAATCAAAAAATAATAACTTAATTATTAACAATTTAGTTTTAAAATAAATTTACGTTATTGAAACATAACAAGTTTAATATAATCCTAGGCTTGACATAACAATAATATTAAGTACTGTACTACAGTTACTGTCAACTAGATTTACTGTAGACCTTTAGTATAAAGTATACTAAATAAAACACACACTTAGTAAAAATTATTGATAAAATAAATTATATTATAATATTTTTATAAATCATGGAAAAAATCAATTATTATTATAAGTTATAGATTAAAAAAATGCGTTTTATTTAAATGTTTACTTAATACCTTAAATAGTTTAAAATATAGTAAGACCTATAGAGAAAATAATTTTTTACCCGATGCGTTATTTAATTCATATAGGTAATAAAAAACACACTATATTTCTATACATGGTTATTAAAATATTTCAAAATATTTAAATAATAATTTTCTTTTTCCACTGAATAATTAATTTAATTTGGTTTTAAATACAACAATAAAAATGTAAATCATAAGAAAAATTAATTTAAATTCTGCTTAATAAAATAGATCCCGTGTTTTCGTTATTGTAATTCTTGAGAAGCTTTTATAAAATATATATGGAGTAATTTAAATATAATAAGTAAAATATTATCATTTTAAAAGAAGGCTGCAGGTTTAAATTTAAACAGCATAATTTTATAATATCCAGTTCTCATAATAAATATAGTGATTCCATCATTATTATTTATATATTTTTAAAAATAAATTAGTATATTATTGCTTTTAAATTTGTAAAAAAATATTTAATAATAAGAAATCATAGCTTGCTAGGGGTTAGTGACACGACGAGCGAAGTGTGACAATGGTCTCGGTTACTGTCTAATTTTTCTTTCTAATAATTGTTATGTACAAGGTATAATAGGTACATATTTAATAAAAAACTATTTGTTAATGGTTTCACTATAGAAATAAAAAAAAATATTTATAAATACGTAATACGTTTACATAATACTATTAGCATTAAATTCGTAATTATAATACCTCGCCGAGTTCGGTCGATGATACTTTATTGAGTTTTTGGGCTTTTTGAACTTGATAGGTTTTTTTGCGTCCAAATACTTTGGTCAATTTTCCAATGACAGATGCACTCCGTTTACCACAGTTACAATTTTGGTGAGATGAACAGTTTTCCAACATGATAATGACATTATCAACGATAATAGATATAACAATTGTTAAAACCGAACTTCAGAATCGCACACACAAAACGGACCATACGTATAAGTATACATAGTAATTTAAAATATGCACTCTAAATAAATAAAGTAAAAATTAAATAATTAGTCTTTTTTTTTGCTGCTTGAAACAGTTTTTTTTTAACAGACAGGCAAGGACGTCACGAGCTTAAAACAAATAACTACCTACAGTTATATGAGTAATTTTCTCTATGAAAATATATTTTTAAGTTATTTAGATAAAAAAAAAACTAAAACAAATTTTAATATAATTAATATAGCAAAAAAAAAAAAAAAGAATGAAGTTTAATATTGACTAAAAACGTAATACAAATTAGATATAGACCGTGAATATTTTTAAGAAAATAATTCTCTTACACATTTTATAAATGACATATACCAATAACTCACAAATAATTTAATTATTGTTTTTTATTTGTCATTGTATCATAATATTATTTATTAATATTAAATTGAATATTTAATTTTGGTTTCGTTATAATTTAGAATCTTAAAAACTTCTATTAAAAACGTATAATTAAATAGTATTAATAGGTTGGATTTTTAAATAATTTTTGTTTACAACTATCATGTCACTACAGTCCTACCACACATAAAAGCATATATTTTTTTATTATTATTTTGTATTATCATATAATAAATTGCGATTGAACATTTATAGTAAATACACTAAGAAAAGTTTAATGATACGAATATACGTAGATATGCAATTATTGTTGAAAAAAAGGATAATTTGTCTGTTGTAGGTTTAAACTATTAATTTAATTCATACGTTCTAAATGGTAATTTTTGTTAGATATATTTTTGGTTATGCATTGTGTGATTTTTTAAAAAAAATGTATGCAAAACACATTTGAGGCAGAATAAAAGAGGCCAAATCACATTTCTTTTAATTAAATGAACATATATTTAACTACGAGAATTATTCTTATAATGTTTGGTAACATTATAATAAAATATTATAAAACTACAATGAAAAATATGAAAACAAATGCACATTTTTAACTAACTGTATCATTATTATACATATAGTGTTACCCACTCGAGTCGCATATCACAATCCGGTAAACTTCACATATTTTAATTGTGATTCTTCAACTAATAAATATATAATTATTTTTACATTTATCGTTTTTAATAGGTGCGATTAAATTTGAATTAATACATATATGTGTTAGATGGAAATCAAAATGCAATACTATTAAGTTGGGTAGGTATAGTAATATATACTCACAAACTAAGATTTGAAATTTCATTTTAAAAACAAATAATATAATATCGGAGTTAAAAATGAAACATTTCATTTGAACATTAACTATACCCAATAATAATAATTATAGTTTTTTCAGTTTTGAATTTGTTTTTACATCATAGTAATAAAAATAAGTAAAAATAAATCTATTTTTTATTTTTTTAATAGAAACATAATTAAAATTACAATATATAGGTTGTATATTTTTTTTTCAAAGCGTCTTAGTTTTTTCAATTGTTCTCATCACAGTAGCCAACACAGTGATATTGATGCATTGTATTTGTCTACTTTTTACTATTGTTTTTAAAGAAAATGAATATCTGCTAGTCAAGAACCGAATAATTAAGCCAAGCCAAACATAACGAAATAACAATACCATATATTATGTATACGTAATACTGCGTATATATTCTCTTATAACATTGAGATAACTAATCAGAATCTATAACAATGTTTTAATCAGAAAAGATACACGAAAAATGTGGTGAGATGCATGTGTGCGTGCGTGTGTGTGTGTGTGTGGGGGGGGGGGGTGTTATAAATTTACATTTTATAGCGTTGATAACTTTATGTATTATAATAAAAATTGGAATTTATAAAACTTACTTATTGTAAAAC